TATGTTTCCCCCATATATCTCTTACAGCACCTGGAGCAATATATAAAACTATACACACATACACACACCCCCCCCCCAGCATATTCCAACACATTGTAATATGGGTATCCCATAGATGCTGCTTTTTCAAAACCACTTTTGAAACAGTTTTCTATGGAATAATTAATTTTCTTTAGTAATAGTGATTAAGGGAACTAGTGTCTTTTTTTTTTTTGTCACATCTTAACATGTTTTGCTTGTCTCTTTCACCCCACCCACCTGTCCACCTATCCATCTGTTCATCCTTCCTTCCATCCATCCATCCATCCATCCATTTATCCATTCATCTGCCTACCACCCACTATCTACCATCTATATCGACTGACCCACCAATCAACCAACCCATCCATCCATTTTCTATCCATGTAATGATTCAGCATGTATTTGTTGAGAGTCCAATGAATTGCTGGACAGTTGGGTTACAGCTACAAATGGGGCAGATGTATCTCTTTAATCTTACTTTCTCATCAATTGCAATGAAAAGATTCAATGATAAGACAGGGCTAAGAGCCTTTTGGCCATGTTTTGAACAAAGATCTCATTGGGACAAATAAAGGCCTTAGGACAGCTTTGATGATGCTTAATTTATTTGAAGTTCATTCTTTTTCCTACAGTTTATTACTTTTTTTTGGTACTGATGATTGAGCTCAATGGTGCTTAGTCACTGAGCTACATCATTAGCCTTTTTATTTTATATTTTGAGACGGGGTCTTTTTTTTTTTAAATTTTTTTAGTATTGGAGATTGAACTCATGGGCACTCGACCACTGAGTCACATCCCTAGCCCTATTTTGTATTTTATTTAGAGACAGGGTCTCACTGAGTTGCTTAGTGCCTCACCATTGCTGAGGCTGGCTTTGAACTTGTGATCCTTTTGCCTCAGCTTCCTGAGCTGCTGGGATTACATTTGTCCACCACCACACCAGGCTACTTTTTTTTTTTTTTTCCCCCAGTACTGGAAATTTAACCCAGGGCCTTTTGTATGCTAGACAAGTGCTCTGCCTCTAAGCTATATCCCCAACTAGTTTGTTACTTTTAAAATGAGAAATCTTTTTTTCATTTTTATTTTTGTTTGTACTGAGGATTGAACCCAGGGACACTTTATCATTGAACCACATCCCCAGCCTTTTATTATACTTTATTTAGAAACAGGGTTTTGCTAAATTGCTTAGGGTCTCACTAAGTTGCTGAGGCTGACTTTGAACTCTGGATCCTCCTGCCTTAGTCTCCCACAACACTGGGATTACAGGCACTGGCCACCACCACACCAGGCTACTTTTTTTTTTTTTTTTAGAGAGAGAGAATTTTAATATTTATTTATTTTTTTAGTTTCTGGCGGACACAACATCTTTGTATGTGGTGCTGAGGCTCGAACCTGGGCCGCACGCATGCCAGGCGAGCGCGCTACCGCTTGAGCCACATCCCCAGCCCCAAAAGTTATATTCTGATGTTCATAGTCATATACATCATAGTTTTGACTCTCTTATTTTACCAGTTTATCCCTAAAAGACAAAAGGAACTGGAGTAGTGTCAGGAATAAATGGAAGTTGTTCTGACCGTATATGAAAGATTGAAATTTGGCGCTGGGATTTAGCTCCATGGTAGAGCTCATACTTAGCATGTGTGAGTCCTGGGTTCAACTCCTAGCACTCCACCACCAGAAAACAAACAGTTGGAATTAAAATGCTCTCTGACTTTTTGTACTATTCATACCTCACTAAAAATCATTGGAACTTAAATTGAAAATAGTATTCATTTTAAAAGAAAAGTAGACAATGTACTATCATTTTTACTGAATGGAAAAAAGTTTAAAAGTTATAAATATACTGTATCATCAAGCATGTGGGATATCAAGAATCTTTTCAGACATTTTCAATGGGCCTGTGAAACTGATGTGACTGTTCTGCAGATATTTTATGTAGTTGGATACCATCAATCTGTAGTTTCTTTTTTTTTTTTTTTAAAGAGAATTTTTATATTTATTTTTTAGTTTTCGGCAGACACAACATCTTTGTTTGTATGTGGTGCTGAGGATCGAACCCGGGCCGCATGCATGCCAGACGAGCGCGCTACCGCTTGAGCCACATCCCCAGCCCTGTAGTTTCTTATCTAGGATTTTTTCCTTAAAAAGCACAGAAAAGTACTGAGGTCCTTTTTAGAAATTGCTTATGACTTAATAGTTACAGAAAAATGGGAAACAACCTAAATGTATATTGGGGGTTTTGGTTAAATTATGATATGGGGAAATACCACACAGCCATACAAAGATATTGAGATTGATATTTGTACATGATAATGAAGCACAGAGATATACAACATGAAGAGTTTGGCCGTATTTGTACAGAAAAAAGGTTGTCTCTGTATGTGTATGTATGAGTTTTATGGACAGCATTTCCAGGAAGATATGCAAGAAAATCAGTAAGCAGTAATTACTTCTGATCCGTGGCAGGCTCTACTATTATAATTTATTTTTGGTGTTGGGGATTGGACCCAGGAGTTTGCTCTGCTGTTTTATTTTTTTGTGGCCTACTTAAATTTATGTACAATAAATATAATATATTTTATAATTAAAAATGCCTTTTTAGGGATCGGGGATGTGGCTCTTTGGAGGGGAGCTTGTCCAGTGTGCTTGAGGGCCTGGGTTCAACTCCAGCACTGAAATAACTAAACAGGTAAATAAATAAATAAATATGCCATTTATTTATTTACTTATCTGATACTGGGGATTGAACCCAGGGATGCTTAACCACTAAGCCACATCCCCAGCCCTTTTTATTTTTATTTTTTATTTTGAGACAAGGTCTCCCTAAGTTGCTTAGGACCTTACTGAGTTGTTGAGCTGGCCTTGAACCTGTGATCCTCGTACCTCAGCCTTTTGAGTTACTGGGATCACAGGCATGTTCTACCATGCCCAGCAAAAATGCCTTTTAAAAAAATGAAAAGACTTGGTAGTTTTAAAAGTATTCATTAAAAAGATGTTGCTGCCTGAGAAAATTGACTTCCTGTTGACATGGTTTGCTAGGAATGATGGCCCCCTCTGGAAAGCTCAATCATGATTCCAGTTCTGTGGCCACAGAATCCTAGAACTTAAGAGTCCAGAAAGGTGACTTGTCCAAGCTCAAACAGTGACTGTCTTTCCTGCTTTCCCTTTTGGATCTGCCCTTTTCCATTCCCCTGTGGCTGCATGTGTTCCTGGGAAGCCCTTACCTGACCTTTTCCATTATGAACAAAAGGAAAACGATCCCAGGAGGTAGAAGTTTGAGGGTAGAGCTGGAAATGGAGACTAGAATTTTCTCTGTGTGTGTGGGATTCTTGTTTGAATTTCTTTTTTTTTTTTTTGGTGCTAAGGATCCAACCCAGAGGGCTGTCCATGCTTACCACATGCTCCACCACTGAGCTCTACCCCCCAGTTATTGTCTTTGGGAGAATGGAGATCTAGGATTTTTCTTTGCCCCATTATTGAATTTGAGGACATAGAAAAATAAACAAACACCTGTAATTCTTCTATTCAGACTGGTTACTGTTATGTAAAAAGTTTTTGTTGAAAACTACAGGGGAGCCTGCACATCCCAAGCATATTGCTTGATGTACCATTCCAAGCCAAATTCACCTGTGCAGCCAGCCCCTGCTTTCTGGAATTTGCCCATTAGCTTGTTCCTATCACTGCCTTCCTGTCACCCCAAAAGAAGCAATTGCCCTGGTTCATTTACTATCGTATTTTATCCTATGCATGATTTTGTTGTTGTTTTATAGTGCTTAGGGATTAAACAAGGGTGTCACACATGTTAGGCAAGTGCTCTACAACTGAGCTACATCCCCAGCCCATATTTTTAAATATTTTTAGTTGTAGATGGACACAGTACCTTTATTTTATTTATTTATTTTTATGTGATGCTGGGGATTGAACCCAGTGCCTCACATGTGCTAGGCAAGTGCTCTACCACTGAGCTACACCCCCAGCCCTATTATTATTATTTATATATTTGCTTAGTTGTATATGGACACAATACCTTTTATTTTATTTGTTTTTATTGTTATGTGGTGCCAGGGATTGAACCCAGTGCCTCACACATGCTAGGCAAGTACTCTACCCGTGATCTACAACCCTGGCCCCCTATTATTGGTTTTTAAAATAGAGTTGTAGTTACACTGTCTGAAATTTTCCTGATTTTTTAAAAATATTTTGTGTTAGTTGTAGCTGGACACAATGCCTTTATTTTTTATTTTTATGTGGTGCTGAGGCTCGAACCCAGCGCCCGGCACATGCTAGGCGAGTGCTCTACTGCTGAGCCACAACCCCAGCCCCTTCCTGATCTTTTCTTAGGAATAATCTTTTTTTTTTTTTTTTTAGTACTAGGGAATTGAAACCAGGGGCCCTTTACCATGGAGCTATATGCCTAGCTATTTTATTTTGAGACAGGGTCTCGCTAAGTGCTTAGGGTCTCACAAAGAGGTTGGCCTTGGTCCTCCTGCATCAGCCTCCTGAGTCACTGAGATTACAGGTGTGCGCCACATTATCTGGCTGGTATACTTACTCTTTTTGCTTTTAGAAAGAATTGGATCAGCTAGGTGTGGTGGTGAACATGGTTTTGGAGGCTGAGGCAGGAGGATTGCGAGTTCAAAGCCAGCCTCAGCAACTTAGTGAAACACCCTAAGCAACTCAGCAAGACCCTGTCTCTAAATAAAATTCAAAAGAAGGCTGGGGATGTGAGCAAATCAATGGTTAAGTGCTCCTGGATTCAATCCCCAGTACCAAAAAAATGAAAGAGTGGGGTCATACTTCATTCATGATTACACACTGTGTTTTTTTCCTGAGACAATGTCTCACTGTGTTGGCAGGCTGATCTCAACCCTTGGGCTGAAGGTGCTCCTCCTGCCTCAGCCTCTCAGATAGCTAGAACTACAGGCATGTGCCACTGTATCCCATCATTGCATATTATTTTTATTTTATATGAATTTTTTAAAAATATGAAACACTTCTCAAAGTTGTGTGTCATCCTTGCACAGAGGCCATGCTAATCTTCTCTGTATTGTTCAAATTTTATTTTGATGACAAAGCAAGCAACTGCACATTATTATTATTATTATTTAACCTTCCTTTCTTTCTCCCCCCGCCCCCCGCCTTTCTTTCTGTGGTGCTGAGGATTGAACCCAATGCCTCACCTGTGCTAAGCAAGCACTCCAGCACTGAGCCCCAGCACTGAGCCCCAGCGCTGAGCCCCAGTGCTGAGCCCCAGCCATGCCCTTTATTTTTAAAGACAGCTTTCCATTGTATGTGCATTTGTACCATTGTGTTTTGAACCAATGTTTTTTTTCTTATACATATATCTCTATCCTTGCCTTGAATTTAAATATTGACTCATGGTCTTGGTATTCTTTTTTTTTTTTTTAAACACTAGGAAAGAAACACCTTTATTTACATGTACATGATAATAGTGATGGGATTCTCAATATCAAGGGAAAACTTGACAAACTTATAAATTTTATCTAATCTGTGATTATGAAGGTATATTTGCCATATCTTCTCCTAAAGAATAAAGATAATATTTGTAAAAGTTGTTTGAAAACAGTTAAGAAACTCAGTATTTTTTTGTTGTTGTTGTTGTTTTGAGAAGGGATGTAGTTATGTTTTCCAGACTGGCCTTTAAAGTCTTAACCTCATACTATCCTCCTGCCTCAGCCTCCTGACTAGCTGGAACTCCAGGCATAATCTCAGTATTCTTTTTTTTTTCCCCCTTCAGTATTGGGGATTGAACTTGGCCTCTTGCAATGCTAGGCAAGTACTGTACCTCTGAGTTACATCCCCAGCCTTTTTTAAAAATTTTGATATATATCTGAAAGTCCCACCATCATCGGAGTTTAAAAACTATATGCATATGTTACTTTGATTAAGAACAAATTTAAAATTTCTGAATAATGTGAATATCACTTTTAACATTTATATAAGATCATATCAAGGATACATGATTAAGGGGCTGGGGATGTGGCTCAAGTGGTAGCGCGCTCGCCTGGCATGCGTGCGGCCCGGGTTCGATCCTCAGCACCACATACAAAGATGTTGTGTCCGCCGAAAACTAAAAAATAAATATTAAAAAATTCTCTCTTTAAAAAAAAAAAAAAAAGGATACATGACTAAGACCACAAAAAAATTTTTTTTTGATACAGGGTCTTGCTAAATTGCCCAAGCTGCCATAAGATTTGCAATCCTCCTGCCACAGTCTCCTGAGCAGCCAGGATTACATGCGAGAACCGCTATACCCATTTCAGTCTTGGTATTCTCTTTTTTTGGTGGGGGAAATACTGGGGGTTGAACCCAGGGGTGTTTTACCACTGAGCTACATCCCCAGTCCTGTTTTGTTTTGGTACTGGAGATTGAACTCAGGGACACTCGACCACTAAACCACATCCCCAGCCCCATTTTGTATTTTATTTAGACAGGATCTCACTGAGTTGCTTAGCACCTTTTGCTGAGGCTGGTTTGAATTTGTGATCCTTCTGCCTTAGCCTCTCGAACCACTGGGCTTTCAGGCATGAGCCACCTTGCCTGGCCTCAGTCCTTTTTATTTATTTATTTATTTTTTAGTTGTAGTTAGACACAATACCTTTATTTTATTTATTTTTATGTGGTGCTGAGGATTGAACCCAGGGCCTTGCACATGCTAGGCAAACGGTCTACCGCTGAGCCACAATCCCAGCCCTTTTATTTTTATTTGAGATAGGGTCTTGGTATGTTGGTGAGGTCTCAGTAAATTGCTGGAGCTGGCCTTGAACTTAAAAGATCCTCTTGTGGGGCTGGGGATGTGGCTCAAGTGGTAGCGCGCTTGCCTAGCATGCGTGCAGCCCGGGTTTGATCCTCAGCACCACATACAAACAAAGATGTTGTGTCCGCCGAAAACTAAAAAATAAATATTAAAAAAAAAAAAAAAAAAGATCCTCTTTCCTCAGCTTCTCTAGTTCCTATGTTTATAGGCATGTGCTACAGGTCCTGGCTCAGTCCTAGTGTTCTCTTTTTTTTTGGTATCAGGGATCGAAACCAGGGGCACTTAACTAACACTGAGCCACATCCACCGCCCTTCCTTTTTTATATTTTATTTAGAGACAGGGTCTTGTTGAGTTGCTTAGGGCCTAAATAGCTGAGACTGACCTTGAACTCATGATCCTCCTGCCTCAGTCTCCTGAGCCACTGGGATTACAGGTGAGCACCACCATGCCCAGCTCAGTCTTTTTTTTTTTTTTTAAAGAGAGAGAGGGAAAGAGAGAATTTTAATATTTATTTTTTAGTTCTCGGTGGACACAACATCTTTGTTTTGTATGTGGTGCTGAGGATCGAACCCAGGCCGCACACATGCCAGGCGAGCGCGCTACCGCTTGAGCCACATCCCCAGCACCCCCCCTTTTTTTTTTTAAATATTTATTTTTTTAGTTGTAGTTGGACAACACAATACCTTTATTTATTTATTTATTTATTTATATGTGGTGCTGAGGATCGAACCCAAGGCCTCGCATGTGGCAGGTGATCACTCTACCACTGATCCACAACCCCAGCCCCCATCAGTCTTAATTTAGTATTGTTAATAACTCCCCAGAAATAGAAGCACAAGGACTGTGGGGATATAGCTCAGTTGGTAGAGTGCTTGCCTTGCATGCACAAGGCCCTAGGTTCAATCCTTGCATGCACAAAGCCCCAGGTTCAATCCCCAGCACCACAAAGAAAAGATAAAAAAGAAATAGAAGCACATGCTCTTTATTAATTATACTCAATAGGAGTACTCATGTCACAATTACATCTTATTGAACTTTTTTTTATTCCTGATGGTCATCATTTCCCCCTGGAGGTTGGCACATTAGGTTTGCCATCTCAGTGTAATTGTATAAATATTGAGAAATGATATAATACATCAGAATAAATTTATAGATTGAGAGAGTAAAATTCAGGTTAAAAACCCATGAAAAACCTGACCACCAGATTATATTTTTCTTTCCAGAGTCCTAAAAGCAAAGTGTCATACAGCTTTGCATTGGCTTTTCTGAGGTGTACATGTATTTTCTTAAAACACTTTTTATACTGATTTTTTTTTTTTTTTTCAGTATTGGGTATTGAACCCAGGGCTTCACACAAGCTAGGCAAGTGCTCTACCGCTGAACTACATCCCCAATTCTTTTTTCAATTTTATTTTGTGACAAGATCTTGCTAAATTGCCCAAACTAGCTTCAGACTGTGATGCTCAGCCTTCTGAGTAGCTGGATTTGTAGATATGTGATAACTTTCCTGGCTATGTTATATTTTTTTAAAGTATTTGTCACATCGGGAAAATACTTTAAATATAACCATATCTCTTTTCTCTTTTAAGACTGGGTCTCTCTCTGTTGCCCAGGCTGGCCTCAAACAGTCCTCTGCCCCCGCCTCCTGAGTAGCTAGCATTACAAACATGTGCCAAACACACCTGAATTTCTTTGTCTTAAACTTAACCATCTAACCTAAGCTGTTTCTTTTGATGTTAGAAATTCTTTGAAAAGAACTTTTAGAAGTGGGTGGGTAATGTTCCATGGGGAAAGTGTGGAGTGGTGGTCTTCTAAGGCAGGACCCTGGGGGCTGGCTTAGAGCTGTTTTAGATCTTCCTGCTTCAGCAGTTGACAAATCTCCAGTGAACAAATAGCTGCGCTGGAAATGCTGCTGAGGTTTGGACTTGGGAGCTCACGCGTCTCTCCTCCTTGACACTAGACTCCACCTCATTGCCTGGAGATCACACCTCCATCTTCAGAAAAGCTGGTCTCAGTGATGCGCTTAAGTGATCTCTCTACCGAAGATGACGACTCGGGTCACTGTAAAATGAATCACTATGATAAGAAGATTGACAGTCTAATGAACGCGGTTGGTTGCCTCAAGTCTGAGGTAAGGGAGGTGAGGGAGTAGGACAGCTAGTGCCCCTAGGACTGTGGAGGCAGCCCAGGCTGGTTACTAGTGGACTTGGCTACTCAAGCTGCCTCTTAATAGGCCTCTTACCCTCAGTAACACTGTCCTGGATGTCACAAGGCTCCACCTGAGGAGGAGTTGTGGGTCCACCTGGATTCCCACAAAATGGCTTTGTGGAGCACTTAGCTTGTGTAATGCTTAATGTGGACAGCCTGTAAAGTTGAAAAAAGAAAAGGCCCAGGGAGACAAAGGAAGTTTGCAGAGCTGTCCCTGGGGAAACAGAACTCTGAATGTCTAAGGTCCCTATCCAGGAAGTTGGTGGGGCTGATATTGGAAGCCAGGTCCTGGCTTCTGACTTGACCTGTGTTCAGGTTCAACTCTATGCTCATGGTCCAGGGACCTTCCCAGAGAACCTAGGGCTGGCTGCTTGGCAACAGGCCTGCTTGCCCCTGTAGCCTACTGTGCAATGGCCTTTTTGTGACGTCTGTCCTCTGTATTACGCCAACTGAACCACTGTTGCAACCTAACTCCATCCCCAACCAGCAGGTCACTCAGTTTCCTCATCCACAAAATGAGAGGAATAGCATCTTCTGGGAGAGTTTGTGATAATTCATTGACTGCTCTCTAAATCCCATGAGACCCCCATACCGCATCCATGTGCTCTTAACTAGAGAGGCATTAGTTTGGGCCTAGCAATGTGGTATCAAGAGAGAGCCTGTCCTCAGTGGCCCCTGCCTGTGTACCCCTGCACAGGTCAAGATGCAGAAGGGTGAGCGCCAGATGGCAAAAAGGTTCCTGGAGGAACGGAAAGAAGAATTAGAAGAGGTGGCCCACGAACTAGCGGAGACAGAGCATGAGAACACAGTGCTCAGACACAACATTGAACGCATCAAGGAGGAGAAGGACTTCACCATGTAAGGTGACACCCGCTCTGCCCTACCCCAAGGGAGTGACTTCTTCCTTCCAGGTGCCCCAAACCCTGGGAGTGAGAGGTACTCAACAGGAGGCAGTGGGCTTGGGTGCTGTACTTGTGTTGGAGCCTGTTCAACAGTCAGAGCTGACCACTTGTGATTCATACTGTGAGGAAAAGGAGGGCCCAACAGAGAGACTCTATCAGGGAACTCCTTGAAAAAATGATCTGGAAGAGGAGT